AAAGAAAATGTTTTTTTCTTTATGGGCACAGATTTTTTTTTTTAGCTTCAGAATATGATTCTAGAGGCACATTTTTTTTTTTAGCTTCAGAATATGATTCTAGAGGCACATTTTTTTTTTTAGCTTCAGAATATGATTCTAGGGGCACAGATTTTTTTTTAGCTTCAGAATATGATTCCATCCAGTTGTAAGGTATCAGACTTGTTTAATAGTTTGAGCAAATTTTAGAATAAATATTGTTTTCATTTGTCATGTGTATTCTATCAACAAATCATGTTTCTATGAAAGTCTGGTAGTGTGATCCTCAGTTGTTAAAGGGATAGTTTTAAAATTAGTCCATTATTTACTCACCCTCAAGCCATCCTAGGCGTGCGTATATGAATTCCTTCTTTCAGATGAATCCAATCGGAGTTATATTAAAAATTGACTTTGACCTTCCAAGCGGTTTAATGGCGTTAATCGAAATCCTCCGACATTCTTCTTTACAAATCCTTGTTTTGTACTTCTAATTCGTGACTGTTGTTTTGTTTTGAGCTCTCCCCTGCGTTTCCGCGTTCGTCACTTCTGAGCAGCGCATGCGCAAAGCTGACCTCATACGTCATCCGCCCGGAGCTGCTTCCGTTTACAACAGTGAGCACAAGCTAGATTAAATTGATTATTTCGTTTTAAATATGGTTATTTTTCTGACAAAAACGGATCGATTCGCTACAGGACGCCTTTGTTCACCCCCCGGAGCCATGTGAGGCACTTTTTATTATGGATGTATGTGCTTTATTTCACTTGTTTTGGACTGATGCATCTAGGGGCACAGATTTTTTTTTAGCTTCAGAATATGATTCTAGAGGCACATTTTTTTTTTTAGCTTCAGAATATGATTCTAGAGGCACATTTTTTTTTTTAGCTTCAGAATATGATTCTAGAGGCACAGATTTTTTTTTAGCTTCAGAATATGATTCCATCCAGTTGTAAGGTATCAGACTTGTTTAATAGTTTGAGCAAATTTTAGAATAAATATTGTTTTCATTTGTCATGTGTATTCTATCAACAAATCATGTTTCTATGAAAGTCTGGTAGTGTGATCCTCAGTTGTTAAAGGGATAGTTTTAAAATTAGTCCATTATTTACTCACCCTCAAGCCATCCTAGGCGTGCGTATATGAATTCCTTCTTTCAGATGAATCCAATCGGAGTTATATTAAAAATTGACTTTGACCTTCCAAGCGGTTTAATGGCGTTAATCGAAATCCTCCGACATTCTTCTTTACAAATCCTTGTTTTGTACTTCTAATTCGTGACCGTTGTTTTGTTTTGAGCTCTCCCCTGCGTTTCCGCGTTCGTCACTTCTGAGCAGCGCATGCGCAAAGCTGACCTCATACGTCATCCGCCCGGAGCTGCTTCCATTTACAACAGTGAGCACAAGCTAGATTAAATTGATTATTTCGTTTTAAATATGGTTATTTTTCTGACAAAAACGCATCTATTCGCTACAGGACGCCTTTGTTCACCCCCCGGAGCCATGTGAGGCACTTTTTATTATGGATGTATGTGCTTTATTTCACTTGTTTTGGACTGATGCACTGCAACACCCGCTGACTGCCATTAAACAGCTCGGAAGATCAAAGATAATTTTTAATATAACTCTTACTGGATTCGTCTGAAAGAAGAAAGTCAAATGGTGTCTTGAGGTTGAGTAATTCATGGGCTAATTTTCATTTTTGGGTGAACTAACCCTTTAAGCGTATTTATATTTTTCTCTAACCATTTTACAAGACATAGTGTATTCCAGCCTTGTGTTTTTGCACCATTTGTAACAAGGGAATCCACATAAATCTGGTGAAAAGAAGCAGGGGTAGCCAACCCTGCTCCCAGAGAGTTGACTTCACACGGAATTTAGTTCCAACCCTTATTAGACACACCTTACCCAACCAACGAAGGTGTTCTGGATTACTTGAAAAGAAGGTCTGTTGGAGCAGATTTGGACAAGCTGAGTCATTTACACTGACTCAGCAACCTCTTGACAAGTCACACTTTTTCAGTAGAGAACGTTCCACAAACATTAGACTCTGATATGCCCTGATGCCTTCCTACCTCCAGATACTGCCAGTAATGTCACCATTTTTTATATTTCGGACACAGCCAGTAAGTAAGCGATATAGAAAGAGAGACCAAGAGAGAGGCTGCTTCAGCTGGTTTTGGTGGTCACCGTCCCAAACTTCATGCTCTATGTGTCCGGTATATGGCTCAGTGGAGTATCTGCCGGCTCCATAAGCCTGTACTTCTCCTCCAGAGATGGCTCGGTCCCCTGCAGGTGAATTAGTGGCTTGGTCTGGAATATGCCCAGACTTTCCTGGTTTCTCTTGTTGTATATGTTCACCCTGTGTTGCAGTTCCGGACTGGCCTTTACTGACCCTGCCGGACTGGGCAATTTAAGGTTGACCGGGTCCACCCTGCCTTTCTGCGCCAGGCAGGAGTCCTCAGACAGGGAAGAGAGCAGTTCTTTGACCACCGCGCTGGGGTCATGGACACCTGGTTGTGTGCCGAGGGTCAAAGGGCTGCAGTATGGAGGAGGGCAGCAGCGTTGGCCGCTGTAGTCTGAGGTGGAGGCTTCCCGTACGGTAGAGCTGCAGTCAGTTGTGGAGCCCAGTGTGTGGCTGCTGATGCTGTACTGCCGGGCTGTGAAGCTGCAGCTGGACCGGGACATGGTCGTGCTGGATGCTTCACTTACAGAGCTGCCCGTGCGCTCCTGGCCACTGCCCGGGCCGTCAGCACTGACGAGGGAAGGCGGCAAGTGGCTGGGGTTGGTAGGAAGGTGGACATCGATGGCTGCTGTGGTTATGACACGTGCACCAGGGTCGGGCACCCCAATGTCTGTGTGTATAACAGATAGTATAACATTGGCTCTCATTCACTTTCTAAATGTTTAAGCATCGTGACAGTGGTCAACTGATACATTAGCCAGACCTTTTGGAATTTTGAGATCAAATGATTAGTGTATTTGATGAACAATGAGGTGTAATCTTCAGATTGGTCTTGTCGATTGTCAAGGGAATTTAAAGCAGGGTTGTTGTAGATAACTAAAACTAAATTTAAAGCCAAAAATAAACTTAAAATTAAACAAAATATATAAAAACCTTTTCTATTTCAGCTAGTTGCCAAGTCAACATTTCTCATTTAGTTCAACTTGACATAGACATATAAAAAAACTGCTAATAATGACTGACACAACAAATTTACTAAAACTAAAATGAAAACGGAAAATATTAAAATAAAAACTGATTTAAATTACTCATACAAATTATAATAGTCTCAATTATACTAAACACTGATTTAAAGTAAATATTGAATATTTAATTTTTGATCTCATTTGCCTATTTTTTTAAAATACATACTTGCATACTCCAATATATTAAATTATACATATATACTGTATATTTCAACAATTTATGACCCATGATCCACCTTGCTATCTAAAAGTTGGCATCTGCCGAGAAACTAGTATCAGTAAACCAATAATTTGGATGTATATGCATAGATTAATAGTAGATGCAGCGGAGGTCATCGGCTGGGTAGAAGGTCTTACGATCTGCCTGGCAGAGCGAGGAGTCGACTGCACTCTAAGTGCCATCCGCACATCTCTGGAGACGAGACCCAACTCGCAGCGCCTTTTTAAATTCATTTTTACTGTTTGAAATATTCATCAAACGGAGGCTCGGGAGGAGATGGGCAGCCGACTAAAACACCAGGAAGACAATCACAGCCGAATATAAATAACACATGAGGATGAAGACAGCCACACACACATTTTTACTTCTTCCAGGGAAGAGTAAAAGAAAGTGAATGTGAAACCTTATTTAAAAAAAAAAAATGCATTGTACTTTTTAAAATTTGCAATTGTAAGCATTGCTTTTGGTAAAATACCGTAGTTGGTGTTGCTTGGGGTCAAGCTCTGACACGTAATGTGCCCCACAAAGATTATCTAGAATAACTAGAATACATGTGCGAGCTCTGAAGTCTTTCCTCATGTCCTGCACTGGGAAAAAATCTTTATTTTTGCCTTGTTTTCTGGTAAAAAGCCAAACATCCTTAAACCACAAGATAAATTTAAGTGGAAAGCAAAATGTTTTCATAGAAAATATCTTCAGTCAAGTTTATTTTTCTAACCTCATTGGCAGTTTTTTCTCATTCTAAAATGTCACAAAATATTACATTTGTTTTTGAAAAGAAACAGATTTCAGCTTTGAACTTGACACTGTCAAAACGTAGTCATTATATGAACTATTTATTTTTGGTGTCTCCATCCAGTATTTGAGGAATCCGGTTTCTGAAACTAAGCAGACTTTGAGAGCGATGATTCAGCATGATCATGTCACGCAGTATCTCTTTGTGGTCGCTCGGCTCGATGCAGTAAATTCTCATCCGAACCACAGCGGAGATAAAAGAGACCTCGCTCTGGCTGAACTCTGACAGGTAATGGCCTCAACTTCAAAAAGCAGCTCTTTAAAAAATGAGATCACTCAGCTGCTCTTATATTTTCTGCGTCTTTGTCTTTGGTGCTTAAATGCATCTAACTCCCGTGTTATACATGTCTAAGGTGCCAAATATAAAATATGGCCGCTAAGATACGAGCCCTCAGGCAACCGTCATTCTATCTCCTCTCCTCTGCTCTTCTGTCTCCAGGGGTCGGTCTGCGCTTTGACAGCATTTCTGTCCTTTATCATTTAGAGGAAAAAGCCACGGGCTGGCTCCTGGTGCCCACATTTCCCACAATCCTCTAGGGGATGAAGTGTGGCTTGCATGAGGACCATTGTGGGGTTTTTCAGGTTAAAGGAACAGATGTTTGTGCCATAGTTGAATACTCTTTCAGGATGAACAAGACCCAATGCACAGAGCAGCTGTGTGTGTGTGTATAACAGCTGTACTCCTGCCAAACAGATCCCAATGTGACCTGACATGTGGGGAACATTATAGCGGTCTGTTATAATGGGATATCATACGATCTGTCCTGATTGTACTGTCACAGTAAACACTGAAGGGATGTTAGATAGATAGATAGATAGAGAGAGAGAGAGAGAGAGATAGATGATAGATAGATGGATAGATAGATAGATGATAGATGGATAGATAGATAGAGAGATAGATAGATAGATAGATATATGGATAGATGGATGGATGGATGGATAAAGAGAGATAGATAGAGAGAGAGATACATAGATAGACAGAGAGAGATAGAGAGCGAGAGAGAGATAGATGATAGACAGATATATAGATGATAGATAGATAGATAGAGAGAGAGATAGATGATAGATAGATAGATGGATAGATAGAGAGATAGCGAGAGATAGATGATAGATGGATAGATAGATAGAGAGAGAGAGATAGATGATAGATGGATAGATAGATAGAGAGATAGCGAGAGAGAGAGATAGATGATAGATGGATAGATAGATGGATAGATAGATAGATGGATAGATAGAGAGAGAGAGAGATAGATAGATAGAGAGATAGAGAGAGAGAGATGATAGATGGATAGATAGATGGATATATGGATAGATAGATGGATAGATAGAGAGATAGATAGATGGATGGATAGATAGATAGATAGATGGACAGATAGAGAGAGATAGATAGAGAGAGAGATAAATAGATAGAGATAGAGAGCGAGAGAGATAGATGATAGATAGATAGATAGATATATAGATGATAGATAGATAGAGAGAGAGAGATAGATAGAGAGAGAGATAGATATATGATAGATGATAGATAGATAGAGAGATAGATAGATAGATAGATAGAGAGAGAGAGAGATAGATAGATAGATAGATAGATAGATAGATAGATAGATAGATAGATAGATAGATAGATATCATCACTTCCATATTCAATATCATTTTAACATCAGAATTACTGGAGACATTTTAGTGGTGTGTGGATAAATGTTACATCATTTCTCGTGTGAGACTGGGCTGGTTCTTAACTCATTAAAAAGGCAGTGATAGGACCGGTCTGGGTACCTGGAGGAGGTCTGGGCTCTCTGGTGTTGGCGCGGCACTCGTTGTCAGATCCAGCGGGACCCAGGCCGTCTATTTCCTGGAAGCTGCTGCTCTGTTTCCCCCACACATGGTGGATCTGCATGGCAGCCTCACGCTCAGCGGCCAGATCCAAATCCTGCTGCGCCAGGTGAGCCCTCAACTGCCTGATCTCAAACTGCCCAAAACAAGAATGCAGACAGAGACTGACATATTTTGAAATCATTTAAGTAATTTAATTTGCTGTCATTATGGGCTGTTACATATAATGTAAAAGTAAAATATGTTTTGTCAAGAAACCCCACTAAATTGAACGTCTTAATTAACAGATTTTATTCATATGAAAATACTAATATGAATAAAATGTGTTTGTTTTCAATGTAAACAAGGAGATCTAACCTTTTATTCAAAGGCAAAAATTAGCTTATTTGATTAGTGATCTACAAATAGTGCAGAATCTTTTATTTCTAATATTTTATTTTATTGTTTTTGTTTATTTAAATTAGATTAAGAACTCCAGATTAGATTTTTTTTTATTTAATTTAATTTAATTTAATTTAATTTAACTGTTCATTAGCTACCTTGCTACCTAAACTTTAGGAGTAACCATTTTGGAAAAACCCACACACTAAGATTATAGCTCTTCAATTATAAATGATAATTATAGCTATTATTCTAATTATAATTTTGATTAAAGTTATAACCATTTAGGTTATCAAACAATTATTACTGGTAGTATTACAAATCATTGTCTATAACTTATATCATAAACACACTGAACTGGATCTCCTTGCTAAATTGTAACTCCAATATGCTTTATTTGTTGAATCAATGTCCACACACTCGACATAATCAATGAGCTCTACTGTTCTCAGGGCCGCTGCGCTGATATCGACAGGTCTCGGATCAGTTTCCAACAGACATTTCTATCACAGTCTTATCGGTCTTCTTCCCCAAGGAGAAGAACAACAGAAACACATCTAGGGTCAATTGTGTATTTCAGTGGCGTGCATTGATCCCTGTCTGTGTTATCTGTCTGGTGGGCCCAGGACAGGCTGGATGGGTCACGTGACTGTTTTATGTAATACGCTGGGCTGGATTGCAGCTTGAAACGCGAGCTTGCATCATCCGCCGAGACTCGATCAGAAATGAAGCATGAGCTTGGTGCGGTTTAAAATATGGGGGATATTCAGGATGCATTGTGCTGTTGAGACACAATTCACATACATCAGTGTCTATGGACATCAGTAGCATATAATTCTGGACCGAAAATCCCCCAAATAAACAGACGTGTTTCAAATATTTTTTTTCTGGTGACTAATATGGTTAAATAAACAGATACAATCTGATCAATAAAAAAAAAAGATCAGTGATTACAGGCACTGTGTTACTGAGCAGATGAATTAAAGTGAAATTTGATTGTGTGTCAGAGTGCTGCCCTCTGCTGGACAAATACACGGTGCAACATGATTATGGAAAAATGTTTGGAGAGGGGAGTTAAAACAATTATTCACACAAAAATGAAAAATGGCTGCAAATTTACCCTCAGGCCATCCGAAATGTAGATGAGTTTGTTTCTTCATCAGAACAGATTTAGAGAAATGCTCTGATCAATAAAAAAAAGATCAGTGATTACAGGCACTGTGTTACTGAGCAGATGAATTAAAGTGAAATTTGATTGTGTGTCAGAGTGCTGCCCTCTGCTGGACAAATACACGGTGCAACATGATTATGGAAAAATGTTTGGAGAGGGGAGTTAAAACAATTATTCACACAAAAATGAAAAATGGCTGCAAATTTACCCTCAGGCCATCCGAAATGTAGATGAGTTTGTTTCTTCATCAGAACCGATTTAGAGAAATGTAGCATTACATCACTTGCTCACCAGTGGGTCCTCTGCAGTGAATGGGTGCCATCAGAATGAGAGTCCAAACAGCTGATAAAAACATTACAATAATCCACAAGTAATCCACACCACTCCAGTCCATCACTTAACATCTTGTGAAGTGAAAAGTTGCATGTTTGTAAGAAACAAGCTCAATTAATTCAACTGTTTTCATTAAAACAGTTTTAATCCAAACCACAGAAAACCAGTCAAAATATGAGTCCGTTATCCATAATAACGTCCATTTAGTGTTGTCCTCTCAAAATAAAATCCACCAACATATTTTCACTTGTAAACGGTGCTTGATCTGTGCATATTTCTCTCCTGATTCAGATGGGGCAACTTTTCACTGGAGAACGCAACATTATGGATAGAGGACACTTTTGTAATTAAAAACGTCTTGATGGATTTGTTTCTTACAAACATGCAGCTGTTCACTTCACAAGACATTAATTGTTGGACTGGAGTGGAGTGGATTACTTGTGGATTATTGTGATGTTTTTATCAGCTGTTTGGACTCTCATTCTGACGGCACCCATTCACTGCAGAGCATCCACTTGTGAGCAACTGATGGAATGCTACATTTCTCCAAATCTGTTCTGATGAAGATACAAACTTTTAGTAATGATGTTTTAAAATGTGAAATGAAGACTGATTTAAAAAAAAATCTATTTACAAAAGAATGCAGCTCTTTTGAATCTTCTCTTCATCAAAGAATCATGAGGGGGAAAATGTATCATGGTTTCCACCAAAATATGAAGCAGCACAACTGTTTTCAACTCTAATAATAATCATAAATGTTTCTTGAGCAGCAAATCAGCATATTAGACTGATTTCTGAAGGATCACGTGACACTGAAGACTGGAGTAATGATGCTGAAAATTCAGCTTTGATCACAGAAATAAATTGCATTTTAAAATACATTAAAATTCTAATATTGTTTAACTGTAATATTACTGATTTTATTTTATTTATATCAAGTAAATGCTGCTTTGTTGAGCATGAAAGATTTCTTTCAAAAACATAAAAAAATCTTACCAACCCCAAACTTTGCTCAAAAAGGATGCGTGTATTTGATCAACCAAAAAAAAAAAAGTACACCTTTACTCGGCTGTGTTGTTTCTCTTCTGTAGCGTATGTGCTACAAGTGAAGGTGGAGATGGAGCTGGAGATCCAGCAGTATGAGAAGACCAAAGCTGTGAGGGAGGAACAGCTGGAGAGACTCACACAGATCTGCCAGGAACAGGCCGTGAGTGATGAACTAACCCTTCACTGATCTCTGACATTTACATTACCAACATAACACAAAAAGTACAACTCTTGTGCTAGTGACACTTACCTTGACAGTAGCTCTGCAATAGAAGTATACTCAGGAGTGTAAGTTTTGCTTTGAAGGAATAGTTCACCCAAAAATAAGAATGTACTCATCCTCAGGCCATCCGAGATAAAGATGAGTTTGTATCTTCATCAGAACAGATTTGGAGAAATGTAGCATTCCATCAGTTGCTCACAAGTGGATGCTCTGCAGTGAATGGGTGCCGTCAGAATGAGAGTCCAAACAGCTGATAAAAACATTACAATAATCCACAAGTAATCCACACCACTCCAGTCCATCACTTAACATCTTGTGAAGTGAAAAGTTGCATGTTTGTAAGAAACAAGCTCAATTAATTCAACTGTTTTCATTAAAACAGTTTTAATCCAAACCACAGAAAACCAGTCAAACTATGAGTCCGTTATCCATAATAACGTCCATTTAGTGTTGTCCTCTCAAAATAAAATCCACCAACATATTTTCACTTGTAAACGGTGCTTGATCTGTGCATATTTCTCTCCTGATTCAGATGGGGCAACTTTTCACTGGAGAACGCAACATTATGGATAGAGGACACTTTTGTAATTAAAAACGTCTTGATGGATTTGTTTCTTACAAACATGCAGCTGTTCACTTCACAAGACATTAATTGTTGGACTGGAGTGGAGTGGATTACTTGTGGATTATTGTGATGTTTTTATCAGCTGTTTGGACTCTCATTCTGACGGCACCCATTCACTGCAGAGCATCCACTGGTGAGCAACTGATGGAATGCTACATTTCTCCAAATCTGTTCTGATGAAGATACAAACTCATCTTTATCTCGGATGGCCTGAGGATGAGTACATTCTTATTTTTGGGTGAACTATTCCTTCAAAGCAAAACTTACACTCCTGAGTATACTTCTATTGCAGAGCTACTGTCAAGGTAAGTGTCACTAGCACAAGAGTTGTACTTTTTGTGTTATGTTGGTAATGTAAATGTCAGAGATCAGTGAAGGGTTAGTTCATCACTCACGGCCTGTTCCTGGCAGATCTGTGTGAGTCTCTCCAGCTGTTCCTCCCTCACAGCTTTGGTCTTCTCATACTGCTGGATCTCCAGCTCCATCTCCACCTTCACTTGTAGCACATACGCTACAGAAGAGAAACAACACAGCCGAGTAAAGGTGTACTTTTTTTTTTTTGGTTGATCAAATACACGCATCCTTTTTGAGCAAAGTTTGGGGTTGGTAAGATTTTTTTATGTTTTTGAAAGAAATCTTTCATGCTCAACAAAGCAGCATTTACTTGATATAAATAAAATAAAATCAGTAATATTACAGTTAAACAATATTAGAATTTTAATGTATTTTAAAATGCAATTTATTTCTGTGATCAAAGCTGAATTTTCAGCATCATTACTCCAGTCTTCAGTGTCACGTGATCCTTCAGAAATCAGTCTAATATGCTGATTTGCTGCTCAAGAAACATTTATGATTATTATTAGAGTTGAAAACAGTTGTGCTGCTTCATATTTTGGTGGAAACCATGATACATTTTCCCCCTCATGATTCTTTGATGAAGAGAAGATTCAAAAGAGCTGCATTCTTTTGTAAATAGATTTTTTTTTAAATCAGTCTTCATTTCACATTTTAAAACATCATTACTAAATAAAAGTATTCATTTCTTTCTTTCAAAATAAATTATTAGCTTTTAATCAGTCATTTTTGAATCTGTAGTTTTGTATCTGGTTGAATTATATAGAATGTTTTATTGTTATTATTGTTTTATCTAAATATTTATTAATGTATAAATAAATAACACAATGTCTTAATAGAATATTTCTACAATATTTATATTCAAATAATATTATACAATTGTTTGAACAGACTACATGTATTTGAATAGACCACAATTATTTAAATAGAACACATCTCAATAAAAATACTGTAAAACAGCTGATCAAATGTTAACAGGTTTAACACACAATGGGCAGCTTTGATGAACCGCTAATTGTTTTCTGCAAACATACAATGCCGCCAAATGCTAACATCACCTCCATCCACACCTAAGTGAAGAGCCCATTTTTGCCTCATATTCCATGAACATGACATGAGCGTCGTCTGAAGTTGATTTCTTTGGCTGGGCTGGGATTGTGCTGAGAGGGCCAAAGGCTTTCAATCAGGTGCTCTGCTGTCTGCTGTTGGCTCTTAATAAAGCCATATCCACATGACCCCTCTTATCATCCACTCGCTCTCCATTTCAATTAGTCTCTTCTCACACTGGTACCATCTGCTGACAGAACTCCCAGCATGCTTTGCTGCGTTGCAATGTGTTAGACTCACGGTTATTTTTAAAACCGCAGCTTTTTCTACGCGGTTTGGCCGTTCGTCCACACGCAAACGCAGCACCAGTTCACTGAAACCAAACATTTTTGAAAAAGCCTGCCAGGTAGGGATGGGCCTATCGATCCGAAGTATCGATATATCGATACTGATACGAGTATCGAAAGTATCGATACTCAAACAATAAATATCGATACTAAGGTGTGTTTTATTTACCAGTGATTTTATTTAACAAAAAAATAAGGCATTTAATTGGACCTTATTTACTGTTAGTAAATAATTGTGTAGGATATAACTATTTTCCTGCTCATCTGAACACGCAAATGTTGCAAGACAGAACCATTCCATCACAGAGAGCGTTCACTCACTTCTGACAGTTCATTCAAACAGGGCTGCATTTCCCAAAAGTATCATAAGAAAGCATTAAAGCTTTTGGGAACGGCAGCCCTGAACAAAGCTTATCAGAGGACAGAAGAAAAAAAACATATATGTTTGAGTTATTTCACAATAAACTAATTGAAATTAGCCTACATAGTTTGTGCAGTTACAGTTATTTAAATTGAACGTTGAAAGATAATATTGATCATGTTCTATTCGGTAATGTTAATATAAATCATACACTGTCAAAAAAGGTTGTCACAACCTGTCAACAACAGCCTGTCATTGGCAGTCCCTTATGAAAATGAACCGTGGTTTTACTAAAGTGACCGTAGTTCAACTGTAGTATTTGTAGATTCGAATCATGTGTAAACAAAAAACATATCTGAACCATGTGTAAACAAAAAGATAACCTAATAAGTTACAATTAAGGCGTATTGAATGTTAAAATGTGTTTTAAACAAAGTGGTTATCATTACCCATTTTACGTTTAGTAATTTAATAAATTTCATAATTTAAAAGTTTAGTTCAGAAGTATCGTATCGGTATCGATATCGATATCGACGATACTGCCTTGAAAAATATCGGTATCGTATCGATAACAAAATAAGTGGCATCGCCCATCCCTACTGCCAGGGTGAAGATTTTCAGAAACTCCGGTTGCAGTGTTATCGTGTCTGTAGACAGCCAAACCGGAGTTTTTGGCTTGTGAGGTCGGAGCCTGCGCTGTTATCTCCGCCTACTGGAGACTCTTTCAGGCTTCTGATTGGCCAACATAGCTTTATGGTTATATCGCCACCTGTTGGTTTGGCATGCTCTTGACAGTGCTTCATAGCATGCGTTTTCATGTGGACGGAGATTTTTTTTAACAGAAGAAGGAAAAACTACATTTATAAAAATACCCGTGTACGTGTGGACATGGCCTTAATTGAGTTCCTAAAATTCTTTAGGTATAAAAAAGAAATGAAAAAATAAAGTAATAAAATAAAATAAAAATATAAAGCAGCATATCTCAGCAACTAACCCTCAGTAAATTTAACCATGTGCTGGTGTCTTTTCTGAAGTTCAGCACGGCATGGTGCTTTTATGTCCTGCTGTGTACATCATGGTCCAACCACAGGGTGGCGTAAAACTGGATCTGACTCGCCGTGAGACTTGAGCTCATGAATGTGAAATATCAGCTTTAGTTTTTCCTTCATTTCTCAGAGTTCAGATTACATAACTTCAGCATTCTACTGTTGTATTAAACTGTGTAAAGTGTGACGACCGTATTTAGCCGTCTTTTTTTTTGTGCCAACTGTGCACGCTCTCAAATTAAAATCTTGAGGGGTATGAACAAACACACACATGAAAACATACGCAATTCTCACAGCTTGCACATCTTAAACCAGGAAGGATAGGGAAAAGATAAGATATATATGCAAACAAACATGCAGAATACACAAAAACACAGGCACAAAGCAATATAAATGTAAATTTTAATAGAAAAGGCACAGAAGAAGGCATGCAAGCACTTTAGATTCATATGAAGTATAGACAAAATAGATCTAAAATTTATATTTGAATGATTAAATAAAAAATGACATAAAACTATTAATTGCAATTAAAATTGTACTAAATAATTAAAGCTTTAAGTTTACTACTGTATCTTTAAAATGTATTTTTTTGCTTTTATTTTTATATTTTCAGTTTAAGTTTTAGTAATTGTTACATGCTTTTGTCTTTTTTTTGTCGAGCTTTTTTTTTCATTCATCCATTATTTACTATTTTTCTATATAGCTTTCTTTTTATTTCAGTTTTAGTAATTCTAGTACTTTAGTAGTGAGTTACCAAATCAACATTTCAAATTTTCATTGTATTATATTTGATTTCAGTATTATTTTCAGAAATATTCTTTTCAGAAATATTTTATTTCAATGATCAAAAACTATTTTTTTATAGATTCATCAATAACAACACTGCTTGTATTGATGTATTTTATTTATCATGACTTTTATATCAAACTCAGGGGTGTTTCTGTGAGGTGCTACTGGATCTCAGCACTGGCAGAGCTGTTTGTTGTCATCACCAGTGTTCATGTAAGTGTGTCTGATGGCGCGGTACTCAACAGCTCAATGATGTTTAGTGAGAATGAGGGTGACCTGCCCCAGCCATCGACCATGAATACACTTGCATACAGAACCCGTGCTGAGACATTATGGACATTATGCTCCTCTCAGCGCAGACAAAAGACTCTGAATCAATCTGAATTTTAATAAGACCAACGCTGGCAGTAGCAGCGCGTGTGAGACGCCTATCATAACTCACACTCATTGGGCCGGACAGGACAACAGCTAGTAAAATTAATCAGCTGAATTAGCTAATGCTTAAATGCTAAAAGTGCTTTAAAGGTCAAATGTATTTACATTCAGTAAATAAATAAATATTACTTACAACAGTATTTTTAAAGACTTTATAGTGTCAAAAAAGATTGTGAATGGTGTGTTGTAATAAAGCAGCTTACCGTCAATGATTCTCTTGACTCTCCAGATGCGGAGGGTGATGATGAGGCTGATAGCGTCCCAGGGGCTGCTGGGGCCGTTCGCCACTGTGGAGGCCACCATTGGGGCCAAAGAGAGTACAATCACAGCACCGTCAAATACCTGAATAAAACAACATCAACAACGAAACACAATCATATGCCTTTCAGCTTGTAACATGTAAAAGTGTATTTATTACTATGAGCTGTTACATACCAGGTAATGCTCAACTGTAGACACTTCATAACATACTATACTAACTATAATTTATTTAATAGATCTGAAATAAATTTAAAATGTATGTATTATTTAATAAATTATGGAAGCCCTTTTCTGCCATGAAAAAAAAAACAGAGCAGGTAATTGTGATTTTTCTCATAATTTTCTTTTATACTAATGAATTTTTCTGCAAATTTTGAATTTTTATCTCACAATTCTGAGGTGATATCTCACAGTTCTCAGAATATATAATATATAACAGTTCTCAGAAGATATATAATCTCAGAATTGCGAGATACAAACTCAGAACTGTGAAGAAAAAAGTCAGAATTGTGAGTTATAAACTTGCAGTTGCGGGAAAAAAAGTCACAATTGCCTTTATTTTTTATTCTCATAATTCAGAATAAAAGAAACACAGACTCACAATTTGGAGTTTATATTTCCCATTTTCTCAGAATCACATGAAACAAAGTCAAAAATTTTTTTGGAAGGGCATTCCCCTTCTGCCGGCCTCCGTGACAGACAAAGAGCTGGTCTGAGGTCCTGAAGCTTTGCGTCCGGTCTACATAGCACCTTAAGGCTCGGACGGGACAGAGCAAAACTAGGGCTGGGTCTGCCTCCTCCGAGGGCAGCGCTTGGAGGTTCACCACCTGATTCCTGAAGGGGTAGCGGGAACCTTGGACACGTAGCCGGGCCGGGGCCTCAGGGTTACCTGGGAATCAGCCGGCCCGAACTCCAGGCACGAATCGTTGACCGAAAATGCGTGCAGGTCCCCTACCCTCTTGATGGAGGCCAATGCAAGCAGGAGCAAAGTCTTCATCGAAAGGAACTTCAGCTCAACCACCCGCAAAGGCTCAAATCGGCCCTGCTGTAGTGCCGTGAGCACCAGAGTCAGGTCCCAAGAGGGTATAGAGGGTGGCTGTGGAGGATTTAACATTCTCGCCCCCTTAAGGAACCTGACTACCAGGTCATGCTTCCCCAACGACCTCC